TGTCCCGATGATGGCCGACAGGGGACTGGAAAGCTTTGGAAATACACCTACAGTAAGGCCAGCAGTGGAGGACACAGGCTAGAGATACCCAACCAAAACTTCCCAACCAAAACTTCGATTTCAAGCTTCTGAAGCCTACTGCACATTTGGGAGCATTCGACATGGTGATTTTTTCATATAGCTATCCGATATCTAGAATCAAAAACACGCCTGTTCCTCAACCTCAAAGGCCTTTCCAAACTCCGTCTCCCAGGCTTAATAATTCCAGCATGAGGAGTAGCTATTGGTGTCATTAGCCCCATGCACTTTAAAGCCTGATTGAAACGAATTGGACTTACTCTCCCCAATCGCCTTAGGCTGTGTAACTAGGAGGATATACTGCCCATCCAGCTGATAGACTTGCGGTACCACAACCTTATCCTCCGGCAACTCCCTCACAAACTGCACATCTCCATTGAAGGGTAAAAACTGGCCACTGGTAGCGTTCAAGGCTCGTCTGCCTACCGTCAACATGGTTGAAGGGGATGATCCGTCAGGTCTCATCGCTGCAAGCATCATCCTGTTGACTATGAACCAATGAGCCTGTTGAAAACAAAGACCTCTAGTAGAAGGGAAGGGAGACATACATGGGACCAGCATCTCAGCATTAACCCTCGTCATCGGCGCGCTCGTGTTTACAATCCACACGAACGAATTCAACGACATGGTATTCGGTGGTAACGTCCCCGGATTAATACCCTCCTTAATCTCAACATTCATCTTCAGATCCACATTTGTCTGGACCGTAAACCGCATCCCATCAATGAACTCCGCGCATTGAAATCCAGAACCCGCCGTCATGTTAACAGTCCTCGTAGCTCCCTGGCCATATTGTACGAACACGTTACTCGTATCGACCGTCTTACGAGCCACGAGTATATACTCCCCTTGAAGAGACGTCATCTTCACGATGCGAGTGTTGTTCTCGCTACGATGCACATTCCTCGTCTTTTCATCCACTACCCAGCTCTTCCCATCAGTAGCAAGTGTTGCGACAAAAGTGTTGGCTTCTTGGAGGCCTTGCTGCTGTAGTTCAACTGGGTCGTAGGGGATCTCTATCTTGGCGATCAGGTCGTTGGCTGTCTCGTTCATCTTGATGATGTAGGAATAGTTCGAGACTGCGACGAATGGAGCGCCTGTTGATCCGGTCATAAAGATGGCTGCTAGAGGTGCTTTGTTTTGGGTTACGACGAGGGTCCTGGGTTTGGGGGAGAGGATGTCGAGGGCTAGGCCGTCCTGGAAATCTTGATCTGTTCGTTGCATCTGTATTTTGTTCGTCAATGCGTCGCATCATATTTGACGAGTGTGGGACTTACACCTCCCAACACTTGTACTGTATCTCCGAACCCGGGTAGAGTGTTGTTCTGTGCTTGCACTCCATTACAGAAACATTGAAGGTATAAAAGAACGGCGAGAGCACCAGGCAATCTCGAAGAAGAGGCCATGCCTGCAGCTATGCGAACGAAACAGTAACAATAACAGTGACGATAAACATGAAAAATAAAAGTAACAGTGAAGGTATTAAGACTCAATCAAGATACCCCAGCAGGATCTGAGGAAACAGCAAACGCGTCAGCAAGATTTGAAGAACGCATCCCAAGAGCACACCAAGGAACCTATATACAGCGATAGGTGTAGGACAGAGCTTGGGTCCTCAAATTAGGCTTAAACAAGATGGCGGGTCAAACATCGATCCTCTCCCGGACTTGTACCTTTCCACCTGCAGAGGAACGGCGGGAGATCGTCGTATTTGCAAGAATAATCCCTATCGTACGTTAGATCCGGAGCTCGTTTACCTCGCCAAGCGATTTAAGGTTGTTTGAGAAACGACAACGAAACGAACCTCAGAACTTGCTCTGACGAGCACGGGCTCCACTTCTACCTCTTCACGGTTCAATTGAACCCAGTGACATTGGAGTGTCAAGATGATGACATTCTGGAGAATTCTACTGGAGAGTGTGCTCACTTCGAAATGGGGTGGCTTGCAAGATATGTGTTTTGGGACTTTTGAGGATACATCCTGTTCTTTAGATAGACTTGGATCTCTTTCGGTTGCACGGAGGACGGGAACACTCGGGTCAAGCGGGTGAGGCAATCGGGATGTGAATTAGATCAAACTTGCTCCTTTATCACGCTTCGACTACGAAGATTGGTCTCGGATTGATCACTCTCGAGTTGGCCTCGTCGACGTTGTTTCTGCTTAGCCCAACTTCATCCTGACCCTCACTGGGACTTGTTGATGTTCGCTTGCAGTATACTCTGGAGACTGACTCATGAACCCCTCTCTGCGCAATCGGAGTAGAAAAACCAAGCAACCTGACACGTCTTCATATGAAAAACTTGAACAGTAAATTCGCAATCACGGAAATAATATGTCCGGGGTATAAATAATTAAATAAATCAAAGTTGAATGTTGTGGTGATCTCCTTGAGCAGAAAGCGATGTCGGCCGGGGAAAATTCAGTGCCCTTGATTCCTCGGCGGTGAGTCACGGCAAAACAAATAAAGTGGCGGGGTGTACCTGTATATCAATACACGAAGTCTTTACATACACTTTCAACACACAATTCAATTCCAATTGACAATACCATCACAATGTCAGGAACTACTCTGCATCTTCGTTCCGAGTGTAAGGCGTCAATGTCCGGAAAAGGGCATGTTACGACAGTTACTAATGCGTTCGGCAGTGGGCAAGGCCCTCGAGCACCGATCCGCCCTCACACCGACAACCGCAAAGGCTCTCATAGAAGCTGGCTACACCGTCAATGTCGAGCGCAGTCCAGAGCGCATTTTCGAGGATAGTGAGTTCGAGGCTGTGGGAGCTACATTGATACCCGAGAACACATGGCGCGAGGCACCTACAGATCACATCATTATTGGGTTGAAGGAGCTTCCTGTTGAAGAATGTACGGCAAACGGCTTCTCACTTTTCCAATTGCAATATCTGACAATGTTTCAGTCCCCCTCAAGCACATCCACGTCCAATTCGCCCATTGCTACAAGCAACAAGGGGGCTGGGAGAAGGTCCTATCTAGATTCCCCCGCGGTGGTGGCACACTGCTCGATCTCGAATTCCTCACAGACGACAAGAACCGCAGAGTCGCTGCTTTCGGATACCATGCTGGTTTTGCCGGTGCAGCTCTTGCTCTCGAGACATGGGCATGGCAACTCACACATCCGGCTTCAGAGCCCTTCCCAAGCGTATCCAGCTACCCCAACGAAGATGCACTAATCGTAGACGTCAAGAAGGCAATCGCAGCTGGGAAGGAGAAGACTGGCAAGGATCCCCGTGTACTGGTCATCGGTGCTCTCGGACGATGTGGCAGCGGTGCTGTGGACCTCTGCTTAAGAGCAGGCGTGCCAACCGAGAATGTGTTGAAGTGGGATATGGCCGAGACGGCTAAGGGTGGACCATTCCCTGAGATTGTTGAGAGCGACATCTTCGTCAACTGCATATACCTCATGTCCAAGATCCCCAACTTTGTCGACATGAAGAGCCTCGATACCCCCGACCGCAAGCTCTCTGTCATCTGCGACGTCAGCGCCGATACCACCAACCCAAACAACCCCATCCCCATCTACACCGTCGCCACAACCTTCACCGAGCCAACCGTACCCGTTGAGGTCAAAGGTGAGCCAAAGCTGTCAGTGATTAGCATCGATCACTTGCCAAGTCTGCTTCCTAGAGAGGCAAGTGAGGCTTTCAGCAAGGATTTGTTGCCCAGTCTGCTACACTTGAAGGAATGGAGAACACATCCCGTTTGGTCCAAGGCTGAGAAGCTGTTCCAAGAAAAAGTCGCTACTCTGCCCAAAGACTCTCTGTAGAGGGATGGAAAGGGCGTTTTTCTACACGTTAGACAAAAGTTTTAGGTGACAATAGATCTCCTGGTGCCCGACCAAATTCAAAAAAGTATAGACTTATCCTCATACACTTGACATTGGCTACTCAATTGCTTCTGGAAAGCATGTGTACACTCTTCGTAACTAACATGGCATGTCCTTTTCCGCCCCTGTCTCACGCTTCTATTTACTGAGAAATTATCTCTCACAGCCTCCGACTTTCACAAGTTTGATGATCTAACCCTCCATGATATCGCGCATTTAACCGCAGATAGTTAGCATCAACACCGCCTGATCTTTGAAAGCGACACCAGGAGACTCATCACCTAGCAGCCTACCGAGCCAACAGGATAAAACCTCCTGTTCAAACTTCTTTACCACGAGAACCCCACCCTCATTCCTAGCAAATGGTAACATTGTCCTCTATATTTGCATTATGGAGGAAGTTGCAGGCCACGATGCCTCTCCTCTTTCCCAGACGAAAAAAGCGTCAATGTTGATTCCGAGGCAGCTCTAGATCGATTGCCTCCCAATGCCACAAGCAACAACGGGTAAGCAAACTATATTATCAAAGCTTTGTAGTGTGAATGAAAGCGAAAAGGCAGTCAGGTTTCATCGAAGTGACGCCATTCCCAGAGTCTCGCGGTCTACGTTTCCAGCGAGGACAACCGCCTGTTCGTGTCTGCCTAGACAGGTAAGGAGGCCATAATCTCAAGACGTGTATCCCTCTCGTCCCTGTGTTTTTACGAATCCCACGAACTAATACAACCCATTCATTTTCGATCCGACTGCAAGGGAGAGTTGTGTAGGTAGTACGGAGCTACACAAAACCAAATAATGCAAGCGAATCAACACCCTGAAGCTAACGAAGCGAAAAATAAACAGAACAAAGAACCACAAACTGGCAACTCCACTTTCGCTTGACATACTACAGAAAGGGGGGAAATTTCCACAGAAAATCCACAAACAAACAAAGTGTTGTCAAAGAGAGGAGGGAGGGAAAAGAACACCATCCTTCACAGTGTTTGCATATGAAAACACCCGATATAAATAAAAACTTCAAACCCTAGCTAGCTAAAGCTAAAGAGTGAAGAGAAAAAAAATGAAAAGTCTGAAAATTTGTGGAGATGCTGGGGATCGAACCCAGGATTTCTTCAAGCTTTGGAAACTGTCTTCCAGTTTTAAGTACTAGAATTCAGATTGCAAATGAAGCACGATACCACTTCGTCACATCCCCTGACAAACAGGACTTTATCAGATGTTGTGAGTGGATTTGCTTATTCGGGTAGATGAATTGAGAAGAAGTTTTCTAGTCTATCAAGGAAAGTTCTGGCCCGTGATTGGGTCCGAAGTAGATCCGTTTTAGGAATGCGCGCAGGTGGGGTTGGTTTTAAGTTGTTTGCATGCATGTGTAGGTAGGCAAGCGGCGGAAGAATTTTCAATGGCTCATTTGAGGTAATCCAGGAAGGCCCAAATTCTCGTGCTACTCGCTTTCCCATCCACAGTGGTTTTGCGAATGGCTTTTGGTATGACATGGCTCAGTAGGTACAGTCTCATGGAGAGAACGAGAAATTCACTAAGATAAGCATCTACCCAATGGTTCATTACATCTCAAAGCCTCACAAATTTCAGATAACAATTCACGCGAAAAGTGCTAAACGACTAAGCTGCTTGAATCCTAAATACCTCTAGAAGCAAGCTATCAACCCAGCTCCAAGGCGGCTATGACACAATACCATTGCACTCTACAAGCTACAGCTTTCAGACAAAGAGATCCCAAACCCATCCATCAACCACCCTTAATCGCACTACGAGATCCCGGGTATAACGCCTCTCCTCCATTCAATTCAACATCACTTGAGCTTCTCAGCAAGCCACTTCTCTGCAACGGCAACTCCCTCTCCGATCTTGTCTGGGTTGGTACCCTGGCCTGTTCTCGAAGGCTCCTTTCCTCCTGAACGACCGCCAATGATTTCTGAGACCGAAGCGGCCCAGTGTTCAGCTGTGACGCCCTTTGAAGTATGCTCCTAAAATAATGAATTAGCTAAGTTGAGAAAAGATGAACGGTGTAATTTACGGTGCCAACATAAACGCCGTGAACAATCTCAGTCTCACTTCCAGCGAAGAGGTAGACAGACTTATCCTTAGCCTTCGACTTGAAATGGTTCATGACTTCTGCGATAGCCTTGGCATTGACAGAGATAGGAAGTTTCCCAATATAGGCCTTGCTGTCCTTGTTCTCGGCAAAGTAGCCAGTGACAGTATCAAGGGCAGTCTTGGATTCAGCCTTCTGTTTCTTCTTCTGCTCATCTAAGAGCCCCTTCTGAACCTTTGCGAAACGTGTCTTGAGCTCCTCTTTGGTCAGGGACGAGATGGTGAGTTGACTCAAATCGTTCTGGACAGACTTGACCTCAGCCTCCTTCTCTGGACCATGTGGCATCTTCTCTAGAGTCTCGATTCGCTTGTTGAATTCGACGGCGAGCCTTTGAACTTCGTGTGCAGCATCCCCAGTAAAGGCAATGATACGACGGATGCCCTTGGCGATACCACTCTCTTCAACGATGACAAGATCCTTAATCAGACCTGTCTTCTCAACGTGAGTTCCGCCGCAGAATTCAACACTAACTTCTCTCCATTTCGGATTTGTTGGGTTCTCCAAGAGTTCATCAACTGGCACACCAACGGAAACGACACGGACTGGGTTGGGATATGTCTCTCCAAAAACAGCACGAACACCTTCAATACCCTTAGCAAGGTCAAGATCAACCTCTTTGGAGTAGATCTCGCAATTCTGCTTAATGTACGCATTGGAGGAGTCCTCAATTTTCTTGATCTCAGGCAGAGTAACTTGAGTCTTGTGAGAGAAATCGAATCTCAGCTTGTCTTGGTCGACAAGAGATCCCTTCTGGTTGACATCTTCACCCAAGTGTTCCCGCAAAGCGTGATTGAGAATATGAGTCCCAGTGTGATTGTTGCGGATAGGTTGTCTGCGGAGCTCATCGTACTCGCAGATGATCTCATCTCCAGCCTTCAGTTGACCGTACTCTAGGTACCCATTGTGAACAATGTATCCTCCATAAGCTTGGACATCAAGCACCTTGAACTCAGCAACACCATCAATAATGATCTTGCCAGTATCAGCAACTTGGCCTCCCTGCTCAGCATAGAAGTTCGTCTTATCCAGCAAGATACCAAATGGCTTATCGGATGGAAGACCTTCAGTTGTCTTCAAGAAGCTCTTTCCATCATAGACGAGTGACAACTTTGCAGTACTGTCTCCCTTCGAAAATTTGGCGTCGTCGTTCGGTCTTGGTACACCCATCTTATCTAGTTCTGCGATTTGATGTACGTCGAACTTGGCAAATGTGTGAGATGCCTCCTTGACAGACATACTAGCCAAACGGGCAGTCTCCTTTGCAATCTCAATTTCAGCATCATCGGTCTCCAGACCTCTCTCTTCGGCCATGATCTTAGTCAAGTCCTCTGGAAATCCAAAGGTGTCGTATAACCGCCAAACATCTGCACCAGAGAGCTTCTTGGCACCATTCTTTACAGCCAGAGCAGCATATTTCTCGAATTGCTTCTCGCCACGATCCAGTGTCCTAGCGAATGCCTCTTCTTCCTCATCCAGAATCTCCTTGACATCACCCTGCTTCTCGACAATTTCCGGGAACTGGTCGCCCATTTGCTCAACAAGAGCAGGGAGGATCTTAGAAAAGAAACTTCCGATCTCAGCATCGAAGTACTTTCGGGCATATCGGGAACCACGGCGTAAGACTCGACGGACAACATATCCTCTGCCGATGTTATTTGGCACACCACCATCCGAAATAGCGAAGGTCAGTAATCGGATGTGATCAGCAATGACACGGTATGCGGTATCAATACCATCAACATCGTCTTTGCCGTACTTGTCGGTATATGTTCTGGCTCCTGTAACTTCCTGGATCTTGAGGAAGAGTGGGTGGAAGACATCCGTGTCGTAATTCGAAGACTTGTCCTGCAATACCGAGACCAATCTCTCGTAACCCATACCAGTATCAACATGCTTCGCTGGTAGAGTCTTCAGAGTCTTATCCTTCTGTCTATCATATTGAATGAAGACGTTATTCCAGATCTCGAGCACGTTCGGATCATCCATATTAACCAGATGGGCAGCATTGCGGCCACCGCCTATCCTATCATAGTGAACTTCGCTACAGGGTCCACAAGGTCCTTGGTCGCCCATCTCCCAGAAGTTGTCTTTCATGTTTCCAGGCAAGATGTGATCCTCTGCAACACCAACCTTCTTCCACAAGTCCTTGGCCTCCAGATCTGGCTCCAATCCAGCAGAAGCGTCGCCTTCGAAGTACGTGACGTAGAGACGATCCGGATCTAATCCATAGACTTTCGTAAGAAGTTCCCATGACATTTCGATAGCACCTTGCTTGAAGTAATCGCCAAACGACCAGTTGCCCAGCATTTCGAAGAAAGTCTGAGTCACATTAGCCAAATATCCAAACAGTGCAGCGATGCCCCCTTACATGATGGTAACTGTCCTTTCCAACATCATCTAAGTCCTATAGAGTACCTACATCAGTCCTGTCGTTGCATAAGAATTTTATATCCTCACATTATGCTTTCCTCCGGCACGAATACACTGCGAACGGTCAGCATGCCCCTCCATTTATGCCACAACCATTGTGCATCACCTTCTGCGTGTCTACAGCTCTCTTCAACTGAGCCATGTCATCCGTCTGACCTATTGTGCCCAGGAAAATAGGCTTGAACTGGTTCATACCAGCATTGGTAAAGAGGAGGGTGGGATCATTGTGGGGTACGACAGAGGACGAGGGAACTGCAGACACCGCCCATTAGCTATATACTCTCGAAATCTTTCAAAGAGAGAATAGAGAATATAAACAACATCCCCAATCTCCAATTGAACACTCATCTGCGTTGTGGATGCTGCCAAAAACCACCTCCCCTCCATGCAAAAACTACCCCGCTACATACCAATCGTGTGTCCCTTGCTCTCAAAGAACTCCAAGAAAGTCTTCCTGACCACCGGGGCAGTCCATTTCTCCTGTGCCATCCTTGCGATCCTCTTCGAGAAGTTTCTAGATCCGACTGTGCGGGTTGGAATGTGGGTGGTGGTGGTGGTTGCGCGCGTGCAGCCAAAAAATGTATTAAATCGTGTCCTCGTCTGTAGCGGGCGTCGATGCTCGGTTCTGGTGGTACTTGTAGAAAACCGTCGAAGTCGGAGGTGACTCAGGCGGATTCTCAAACTGACTCTTCGCAAATCATTCATCCGCGCCCTCTCTAATATCCCAATCCCGATAGGTGACCTAGGCGAAACCACAGGAATTCTTTCTGCTCGCTGCGAAGGTCTGCGACTCTTGTTCTTGCTTGATTGGAGGGGGCTGTTTTGGTTGCACGGTAGATGAAGTGGTCTGGCAAGAGAGGAGGGATGGGAAACGATGGATCGAGTCCAAGCGAACAGCAAGATTAGGAAGAGAAAGGCGGAAACGCAGGACAACGAGCGATTGCACAAAAGGCTGAGCTTGTTAAACCTAGGTTTGTATTCCAATCCCCAACATACATCAATCGCTTTTGGCTTATGTTTATTCTTTGGCAGAGCGCAATGGCGAGAAGCTCTATGTGCCAGTGGAACATCCCACGCCCAACACCACGAAGCTGCAATCCCCAGCGCAACCACAGCTCCAAGACGACGATACCATGCAATTAGACAACACGAAGCACAAAGTCTACATATACGACCTAGACGCCGAGTTATCAGACAGCGAATCCTCTGACGATGGCAAGCTCGTCTTCCTACCAGACATCCAAAAGCACCTCCTCGAAACGCGCATCCCGCCTATGGTACTGGCAAACAGCCAGGGCGAGCTGGCAGGAAATAACCAACTAGTGCTATACAATATCCCGAGTTCATTGACGGTGCCCGAGGAGCAGGATAGCGTTCGGAAGGCCATTATCGAAGCTAGAGCCAGAGCTCGGGCAGCGCAAGAGCAGAAACGGAACGCAGATACCCGGCAGGCTGAGCTGAAGACTCCTGATGCTCGGGAGTTGTATCGGCACATGGAGGAAAGTGGAATTGCTTCTGATACACCTAAAGTTGGATTTCCAGGACTGGAAGAACCTATGGACGGGGAGCCTACTATACCCATGGACCAGGGACCTCTGGACGATGATCCAGATGCCATGGACCTAGGATGAACGCGGGTTCGAGATTTAGGA